ATGGCGGCTTTCGGTCTGGAGTTAGTGGGAGTCACGCTCTCGGTTCTTGGCTGGCTTCTCAGCATTGTGTCCTGTGCTTTGCCCATGTGGAGGGTCACCGCGTTCATCGGTACCAACATCGTCACGGCGCAGGTGTACTGGGAGGGAATCTGGATGAGCTGTGTGGTTCAGAGTACTGGACAGATGCAGTGTAAAGTCTACGACTCCATGTTGGCTCTTCCCGCAGACCTACAGGCGGCCCGTGCTCTGGTGGTGGTGTCCATCATCGTGGGTGTCCTTGCGCTCTTTGTCTCTATAGTGGGGGCCAAGTGCACCAACTGCATTGAGGATGAAGGAGCCAAAGCCCGTGTGATGATCAGCTCTGGTGCCGCTTTCATAACGGCCGCGGTCATGCAGCTTATTCCCGTGTCCTGGTCGGCACACACCGTTATTTTGGAGTTCTACAGTCCACTTATTCCAGAAGCTCAGAAGATGGAAATAGGGGCATCTCTGTACCTCGGCTGGGCCGCCGCGGCGCTGTTGCTGGTCGGAGGCTCCATCCTGTGCTGCAGTTGCCCACCTAAGGATGAGACGAGGTACCCGCCGCAAAGTCGTATTGCCTACTCAGCCCACCACTCAATGGCTCCAAGTACCTACAACAAGAGAGACTATGTCTGAGGACCTCAGAAGACTTTGATTTTTACTGTCTGTCTTTCATTGAAAGATAATTGTAAGTTGAGTTGGAGGTAACTCAAAATTTTGTTTACTTTTTCTCCATGTGAATATTTCTACATGCTGTTGTTTTGTCCAATCAGTGTCCATTGTCACTCCACACTTTTTTTTTTAGATATATTTTAGCACCACTTGCATAAATTATCTTGTGTGGTACATTGTTTGGACTGTATGTTTTAAATCAAATTTGTAAATTGATTTATAATGGGAAAATGTCCGTGGCTTTTGTGCTTTCATTTGCAGTTTGAGCTTTAGCTGTTTGAGAATGAATATTTTTTTATACTTTCATTTAGCCTAAAAGAGTAATAACAACTTAAAACAAAATGGAAAATCTTGTACTAATATGTTTATACTTAGCTTGAACTGCAATCAACTCTGTTAATGTTTAGTTGTGTTTATGGTTTAGGCTATTTCAGTGGCATTCTCATTCTCTGAAACACTGTTAAAATCGGACAGAGAACTGTCTAGATATGCAAAATATCTACACAGTAGTTTTGGACTTTAGCGATGACTAACAGCCAGATCTTTTTTCTACAGCCTATCTGTGTGTGTTACAAAATAAAGTGCCAGTGGATGTATGTATGCAAATCTGACCAAAGGGAAAACATTCGTTTTGTTTCTCTCAGTAGAGAGACACAAACACCAGACTGGATTTAGCCTCTAAGTTCAAGTTCCACTGGACAACACAACAGAGAAACTATGAGACTGTGTGCAGGCACCTCCCAGAGTTTCGTTAGTTTATTGATCATGTTCATGTTTGTGTGTTTGTTGTTTATCACTAAATAATTCGAACATGTATTTGAATAAGTATAATTGATTTATAATTTAATTCTTGATTATCAAAAACAATTAACACCAATAAATTAAAGAATCTCCAATGTGTTTATTTCAGCTCTTTGATAATTTGTTGAGTTTGAGGGCTTTCCACACTGCGTTTAACCAAGAGTTATCTTTTTAAACATTGGGTAAAGGCCACTTTTACCCCTGGGTTCAGCAACGTTTCACATGTTGCAAGATGGTTATCATGGTGACAGTGTAAAACAGTGGGGTGCTATAATGTTTTAGCAAACACTTAAAAACCAAAGAGTGCTTACCTCATTACATATTCATGAGCTTTGTTCGTCGCAGAAACGAAGTGACGTACAGCGACGGCAAATGCGTTAACTGAGGAGAAACTCTAGTACTGTACACCTAATTAAATCGTTTGAAAGAGTATAATAAACAGATTTGTTAAGGTGAGTAAATAGGCTATCGTTTAAATGAGGTAACGAAAAATGTCAGTTTATTATACAAATCTATAATAATCAGAGAAATCCAACTCAACATAATCACGTATAGCTATATAATTTTCGCTAAATGAATAAACTAACTAATGAACGAATGAATTAAATTAATAGACTTCGCAGTGTTATTGCATTACTGCTTGACACTTGGACCGGTAGGCCTAAATGATAATACTTAATTCAAGTTTAATTCAATTCAAGTTTATTTGTATAATGCAAAGAAATATTTCTTTCACGCAAAGAAAGAAGGCGTAACTTTTATTCTCACTGTCTGTAGAGGAAGTAACAGTACATCCATCTAGTTGCAAATTGTAATCCAAGAGATTCTGTGTACTGTCTTTTGGTCCAATAAGTAATATCTCTGTCTTATCCGAATTTAATAGGAGAAAATTATTGGTCATCCAATCTTTTACATTTTTAACACAACACTCCAGCATTTCACCTGCTCATTTCGTAATTAGTAGTGTAAAAAGGTTTAATCGACGTTTTAAAAAGATTAATCAACGCAGACGCCATGTCTGATGCAAAAGTGAGGCTGTATTAGGGTGACCAGACGTCCCGTTTTTCCCGGGAAAGTCCCGTATTTCAGCTCTTTTTTTAGTGTTCTGACTTATTTTTGAAAAAATCATGTTTTGTCCCGTATTTCAAAATTTCTTTACAACTGGGTGATCAGAGCGAGTAAGTGTTCTGTCACGTGAGAACAGCCTAGTCAAAGGTAAGTAAGCTTGTCGTAGAACCAAATTACCATCCAATCACAATTAGTTATCGATTTACTTGCAGTAAGTGAAGGCGGGATAGATAGGCGGAATCACGCTGAATGACACACAGAAGCGCTCTCTCGGCCGCGCGATCCCAGTTCTGCGATCAATTCTGCCTGCACCTTAATTGTTAAATACACATACTACAGCTGTCAAAATGTCAATCATGTGGAGTATCTCACATAAATACAGTCGGTTATGGCTTAAGTGAACGTAAACAGTTGGGTGAAACCGGATATGTGTCAGTATTCATTCGGTCTTAAAGGGACAGCAGCCTAAATAGCTACCTGTCTGTCTCTTTAATGTTAATCAAACAACAAAAGATGTTAAATAACGTATACATATTAAACCTACTGTATTAGAAAAACAAGTTTATTTAATATGTATCTATTGTATTTTTCTTACGGTTTGTAATTTGCTTTATTTTTATTTAAAAAAAAATAACTATGTATGTGTGTGTATGTAGGCTATATATATATTAATTTAGATATCATGAAATAAAATTTGTTTGTATGTGCTGCTCGTTCATTTGGTTGTAATGTCTGACGTCACGTCAGTTTTTCACATCTTTTGTTTTCTTAAGTTTTATGTCCACTTGTATTGTTTTGGAAAGCAGTGTTGGGGTCAACGCATAACAAGTAACGTGAGTTATGTAATCAGATTACTTTTTTCAAGTAACTACATTACTTTTTAATTTACAATAAAAATATCTGAGTTACTTTTTCAAATAAGTTACGCAAGTTACTTTTGTTTTCCCATTTATTGATTGACAGCTCTCCTGTCCCCATGTTGAGAGAAATCAGGAGTAAGTGCAAAGGCGTTGTGTGCAATGTGTAAACATGATGGTTGCTGTAGTTCTAGACCAGGGGTGTCAAACTCAGTTCCTGGAAGGCCGAGTTTGACCTTCAACATTCAAAAATGCCCATGCAGGGTTTAGTTCCAACCCTGCTCCACCACACAAACCATGTAGTTTTCAAATAAGCCTGAAGGACGTGATTAGCTGGATCTGGTGTGTTTAATTATGGTTGGAGCTAAACTCTGCAGGGCTGTGGACCTCCTTGACACCCCTGTTCTAGACTAAATGTGAACATGCATTTACTCATCTCACATGCACAAAAACTGATTCAGTATTCCTCAAAATGAATAAAAACAGTGAAATGCAAACCTGCTATAATTAAATGTATTATGTATTTAATCCCATTTTATTAACCAATATCTTTGCTGCTGACCTTCAGTGATGCAATTCAAACATATTAATAAGCAAAAATGACTTAAGATAAACACAACATTTATTTTTTATTTTTTTTGCTGAAGAATGTTGAATTTTCTTCTCCTGCATTCTATGCTTCATGCAATCCAGAATGGCTGAGGCTTATTAATTTCACTTTTGTTGTGAAAGGGCTTTTACATTTGCCAAAAATATAAATTTTTATATTAAAAACAAACAAGCAAGCCCAGCCCAGCTCAGATTAGAAAAAGTAACGTGAAAGTAACATAATGCATTACTTTCCATTACAAGTAACTAAGTAATGCAGTTTTTAGGTAGTGATGCAATATTGTAATGCATTACTTTTAAAAGTAACTTTCCCCAACACTGTTGGGAAGACATATTTCCAATGTTTGTGACAGTAGTACAAGCTAATGAATAAAATTTCCTCTCAGAAATCTCAGCACTCCTTTAAAATGGCATATTCTGATAATGTTTTGGGTTTGTTTCCATAGCATGCAAATAGCCTAGCTTTTACGATATCATTCAGACACTAAAATAACCCATTAGTTACATCACTAAAGCCTGTTTATCCTGTTTTATGATGCTGTAGACCAAGAAGAGGAAACAGAGTCAACAATAATGATTTTTCTGTACATCTGTAAAAACCCAACACCAACTCATACTCACAAAAACCAAAAACACACTTTTGAAGTCAGTCAATAAAATCCGTTCATCAACACTGTCTTGAATCTTTAGAAAGTTGGAGATCCCTCATATACAACATCACTAACATCTCCAGTGTGATTCAGGTGAAATATTAGCCCTCTGCTCCACCCCCTTGATTATTGATTTGTTCTTCCAGGTGCTTTTTCCTGGCTGAGCCTGTTTCTCTACTCCACACAACGTTAGTAGGAATTAGATTACAAGGGAAAGCCAAAACCAGCATATTGTTCTTCTCCCAGCAGTGGCCATAGCAGGCAGGTGACGTGCACAAATCTGTATCTCATCCTCTATGTCATCACGTTAAGGTCCTCCTCCACTCGCACCTGTCTCTTTGGGAATATAAAGGCTGCTTGGCTTCACAGCACTTTCACAGGCTACACAAAGAAAGGAAGAGTTGGGACGCAGACATCTATATCGACATCTCAGCACTAGGTAAATGACATTCCTCCCTCCATTATTTAATCTTCTGTTAGTACAGCTTTTATTTGTGTATAACTCGACACAACTAAAATACATCTCCTTTTCCTAGGTAAAAAAGTACCCCTAAACGGCATCATGTCGATGGGAATGGAGATTGGGGGCATTGCCCTGGGCATTATCGGTTGGATCATTAGCATTGTCACTTGCGTTCTTCCAATGTGGCGTGTTTCGGCTTTCGTTGGCGCAAACATCGTCACGGCACAAATCATCTGGGAAGGTTTATGGATGAATTGTGTCGTACAGAGCACTGGACAGATGCAGTGCAAGGTCTACGACTCCATGCTGGCTCTGTCTCAGGACCTTCAGGCTTCCAGAGCCATGTCGGTCGTCGCCATCATCTTGGCCATCCTGGGCGTGTTGATCTCCATCATGGGCGCCAAGTGCACCAACTGTATCGAGGATGAAGCATCCAAGGCTAAAGTGATGATCGTCTCTGGTGTGATGTTCATTATTGCCGGCATCCTGGAGCTCATTCCGGCGGCTTGGGTGGCACACCAAACCATTCGGGACTTCTACAACCCGTTACTGACCACCGCTCAGCAAAGAGAGCTTGGGGCATCCATCTACATAGGGTTTGCCGCCGCTGCTCTGTTACTGATTGGAGGAGCGATGCTGTGCTGCACCTGTCCTCCACGGGAGAAGAAGTACAAGCCACCAAGAATGGGCTACTCCGCTCCACGCTCCGTCAGTGGTGGATATGACAGGAAGGACTATGTTTAAAAATGTTTTATTTTAGAAAAATACAAACAAAGAATAATTAGAAGGATTTGAAGATCTCACAGAAAGGGTGGAGATACTTCTGAAAGGACTCCGCAATGAAGGGTCATACGATGCTGTCAATATTTGCTTTTCGGCTGTTTAAGACTGGTGTGTGTGTGTGTGCGTGCACGCGTTAAGGGCAGGTTTCATAGGCTTACCTGTCAAGGATTTTGTGTTTATACATTTCATATACATTTATAATATTTTATATTCTGTTGTTTACATTTTCCTGTTTTTTGTTCAGCTGTTCTTGCTTTTTGTGTCATGTGATACCCAAAGGTCATCAAAGGCATAACATGGTGTCAAAATCTATATTTAAAATTGTTCTAAGCAGACATAAATAGGCAAAGATATATGATGTGACAGAGACAGAGATATTATTTTAGGAAAACAGTCGCTGTGTCAGTCTGATGGCTTATCAGTCACTTTTGTATGTTGACAGGAAGAGGAAGACTTTAGCTCTTTACATGTATTTGCTTATGAAAATTTCACTGGACACAGAAACTGAACCTGTATTTTGTTTTTCCTTTTAGGTTTCAGTTTTTGAGGTTGTACGTCGTTTCCTTTCTGTATAGTTACAACTTTTTGTACAATTGTTTTATTATTCATAGATATTTTTACAGATTTAAAAGACATTCTTGAGTGTGTTTTCTAGATAACCAATTTAAATATTTGTCAATTGTGTTGCTTTTATATGATCAAAATTGAATGCGCGGAAAAGTAAAACAGTTCAATAGCTTATGTATAAAACAAATGGTCAGTTACAGCACACAATAGACTGTTGGAGTGGTTGTACCTGTTTGGCCCTTTGTTGTACAATTAGGGCAGTAATGTGACACATTCTGAGAGCGACCACTCGGTTTACAAACCTTAGGCAAGCTGTATTGTTTGCTATAGGTGGTGACAGACAGATCCAACCAAAACCAGTCTGATTAACTGGCAAGGAGAAGAGGGATGGGGTTTGGAAAGAAAACTTATAAGGCACAAAATGTTTAGTTTACCTTATGCATATACTGGATGTCTGTATTTAATCCCATTGTCATTTCAAAATAAATGCAATAAAAACAGAATTTATGCTTTAAGAGTCGATTAGATCCTTTCAGCTGATGCACATTGAGCAGCAAACAAAACATAAAGAAAGTTGCACACAAACTAAACTATGAATTCAAAATGAAATTCCACATGCTGCTTTAAGCACAAGTTACATTATTCCTGGTAATTCCTGCTAAAGAATATCTTCTTAGCAATTCATAAAATGTATAACTATAGATTGAAATGGAGACTCTTGGTAATGAGTTCTGTTATAAAGGCAGGCAACAGGCCATGAAACCATGGTGAGTTGCAAACACATAACCCTAAGGGATATTAATACAAGCCTGTGCTCTATAATGCTGTAGCCATAGAGACGATGCTTGTCAAGGTGACGCCCTCTTCTCCACCTGTCAGTGAGGGAGGGGAAACTCCACATAGGAAAATGACTCACCTGGTGTGTTTGCTGTAAGGCTTCCTTCAATGCAAAGCTCATCTAGTGTGAATATATAGAACATTTGTGTAATTATACATTTAGTATTATTACTATTATAAATATAACAGACAGCAGCACAAACATTAGTGTGCTTTTGCCTGCATGTTGAAGAAATCCATTTTAACAACAATAAGTAAACCTTTGGGTAGACTTAAATGAATTGCTGCTGTTTTAGGTGTAGAGAATGAGGAAGAGTTTAAAGGCCCTAAGAAATGAATGGGATTTACTTTTAAACATATGTAAAGACTAAATATTTTACTCATTATGTATATGGTGACATATATACACTACATATATTTTATTTTGTGAACGAATAATGTATGTATGTATAAATTAATACATTTCAATGAAGCAATAATTTTAGAAAACTACATTTTAGTCATTATCTATGGGTGTTAGTGAAATGACAAGATTAGATATGTTGTGAAATGCGATTTATTAGGTAGGCATAAATACTATAAAATGAATGCAGCGCCAGAAACCTGACCTGCATGCTTCCTTCTGCCCTGTTTTATCAAAGGAAAGAGCAGACGTTCAGGGAAACTGAACATTGGAAGGTCACTGCAGAAGTAGGGAATTGGCAGATTATGGTCACGTGATCTTGGGTCCCGTCTTCGCGAATGATTTTTTATTTGACACCTGGCTGGGAATGAATATGAGACAAAGAACACAACAATACACATTTAAATAGGCTACATTTAAAAAGTAGCCTACAAAGAGCCCATATTTGACGCAAACGTCTAATTTGTCCCACCAAATAAATATGTTGCTGCTATGTCTTTGTATGGGGGTTCAAAGGGAAATGACTGAGAAGAACTGACCGTATGCCATTTAAGCAGACTTCCGCCAAGCAGTCTCGAGAAACATAAGCAAATATATCTCCTCGCCTGCTATGGTTTCGGTCACGTGGTTTCATTTTCTACACTGCAGGTGAACTAGAACAGCCAACAATAATGTGCTTTGTAACATAGTTCCATATTCTTCAGTTAGATATCTCCAGGAAAATCCGTGCCGTTTCCAAGATCCATCTATAACTTTATTAAACTATTAGCTAAGTGTAATACTTAATAAAAACATTACTGTTCCCGTCATCCTTTGTTAATTTGCAAAACAGAAAATAAAGTCAATTCATTCACAAAACTGCATATTGTCATATGACTGTGAGCAAACATTTATCAGTAATAAAACTGGTTACAGAGCAATATATTATTGTATATATCATATTATAATATCATACATTTTTTGCCTTCAAATAGGCTAATAAACACAAGAAGAGGAAGAAGCAGTAAGAAGAAAGAAGAAGAAAAGGG